TTTTACCAACTTCGATTTCTTGGCTCATAGCCATAAATTACTGCGAACAGCTTAATGAGATGGACAGAATATGTGAAAGCGCACATTTTCCCTGACATGGTTGACTCTGACAGCACAGATTCGCCTAATCCGCTAAAATGATGTTCTCAACATAAAAAGATGTGAATAGTCATTACTAACTTCATTTAATTTAACCTAATTACAAAACTTGATGCATCTACTACGAACAAAGGAGGACTGGCAAAATTAGCTTAGCCATTTAACAGCATGATAGAGACTAAATTGCATGCTTGCAGAAACGATTGGTTTTTGCATGTGTGCATAAGCGTGTGAAGTCATAGTTGAATCAGGCACTTACTGAAACAGAACTCTCAATTTTCAAGGATTGTGAACGCAGAATGGCGGCATAATGACGTCTGTAGTCTCACCAATCACAAACAGCCAGTTTCGCGGTAAATTAGTCGGAAGATTTGTGTGGATTTTGCTGGCATGCAGCGGTGGTTGTATCATACTTATAGAAGTCTAAGCTAGATCCTTCCACCACCCAATATTTATGGAAGGTGGTTAAGCGTTCCCACTCAATGTGCCAATTATTGTTTACCACGTGGAATGAGACTGATGGCCGTGCCATAGCTCTCTGAACAAAGACACGAACAAGCGTGGTTTATCTTCATACCTAAGACGTAATGTGACTGTCTTTGATTGACACATGCAGCGGCCACGGAGAAATGTGACAAATTCATGAACGCCTGTCAAAGAGACAGCTTTACTGTCACAAGCATGGACAATGAATTAATGGACACACCGCGCCTCTAGTCAGCCCAATTTCGTATATTTTCATCTAGACTGGAAAAGAGGTACGATACCACGGTCAATAATCCTGTGAGGCAGCGTGGCCCCTGACGTATTCCGCGGTGATTGAACTACTGCGTTCGTTCATTCTCCTAGCCCGTTAATTTTGTTCCGACTTCTGTTTGGTAAGATTAATTGATTCTATTCTGACGAAACAGGACGATCAGTAAGTCCCACTGGCAAGCCGACATGGCAACAGATGACAGAGACCAAACTGGGTGGGTAATGGTGTGGCAGTGCCAATTTAACACGAGTCCGTCTAACATCTGTGGCATTCAGTGTAAGTGGGAGGCAGATATCAGTTGGTTCTTATAGACAAACACTGCAGGGGTCAGCATCTTTGCGGTCAACTCACAAGTACTATTTTTCCAGTTCACTGAATTTGTGGGTGATTGTTCTATTGCGCTATTTCTGATTAGAGTAAACGATGATCTTCAAAATATGTGCAAAGGCAATGATCTAGTCTAGCGAATCTCATAATGTCAGTGCAGTTATTTGCCCATTTTTTTTATTTTAAACAGTGGATTCATGACATTCCAATAAAAATCACAACAAACCCTCAACGATGGTGGCAAATATGAACTTATTTGTACGCGTGTGTACAAGCAGAATGCTAAAATAAATATGCTAAAAACCAGCCAGTTTAAAAATTAAAGCAATGGACATAAAAGTAAGATAAGTAAGTAATCGGCATTATGCTTCTTTCAGGTGAGTGAAGGTAAAGAATCGGCTAAGATGTTCCTTCCACACAAAAAAATTGACCTCAGTTTGATTATTGGAGCTTGCCCACATCGCACAGTTCATGGTCCTAACACTGATCCAACAACACGGCGGTACATGAGTTCAGGCGAGTAGGCCTGGATTTACGAGAACCAGACAAGCTAAGTGGACAGGAGGGCTGTCAGAGTGAGAAGTCGCAATTGCAAATACACCAATCATACCAGGCATTGTCACAATAGCCTCAGAATGCGGTGACTGCAGCCCTAGTTTGGTTCCCTCTGATTCACGCAACAAGTTACATGTTTTTTGTTCGTAAACTAGACAAACTGACGCAGTCTGCCCATTCTACCAAGTGAGACAGCTACTAAGTGGACGAGCTACTAAAACACCACTCAGTAAGTCACACTGTCAGGCTGGCATTGTCGCAGACGAGCGACACCAGACTGGATAGACAGAAGTGCGTCCGTGTCCATTTCATTCTAACCCATTAATCATCTGTGGCGTACACTTTATGGGTAATGCAGAGACTGACAATAAGGATTTGATATCCGTTGCTTCTTGAAAAGAAACAGTGCACGTATTTTTACCATCGCAAATAACATAAAAGCAAAATAATTTAATTCACTTCAGGTGTGAGTGATTGGTCCATTGCATATATTCTGTAGTTCATCGTAAACACAAAACCACACAAGATTTATAGTTGCCAGTTTGGATACATTTTATCATGCATCTGTAGAGGTACAAAATCAGCTGCGTCGGATATTAGGAGACCAAAGCATGTCTGCAACTAGAACACGAAGAAGTTTATCTCCATTCGAAAAGATGGAACGAGGTATTTACTAAGGTGCAAGTTTACAGGCCCCTACAATATCAGCACCGATTTATTGCCTAACAAGTCTGATTCGTTTGCCGAATGCCACATTGTGGATATGATAAAACAATGAACATAGAACCTAGCGACACCAGTTTAGCACAGGTTTGAACTCATTGTTTGCAGCAGAGATAATTAACACTTTATCATTGCTTGTTGCAAGCAAGCAACGTAAATCCACAAATTTCACCCCAAGAGGCGGTTTATCTTCATGCCTAAGACGTAATGTGAGTGTCTCTGATTGACGAATGCAGTGCCCACAGAGAACTGTGACAAATTCATGAACGTCCGTCAGTGAGATAACTTTACTGTCACGAGCATGGACAATGAACTAAACTATACACTGCACTTCCGAACAGCACAATTTTGCACATTTTCGCCCCAACTGGGCAGGAGTTACGATGGCACGGACAATAATCTTTCGAGGTAGCATGACACCTGCTTATGTTAATTTTGCTCTGATTTTTGTTTGACAAGATTACTTGATTCAACTGTGACGGAAAAAGGAGTTATTGATCCATTGCACATATCTTGCAGCTCATCGTAAACGCAAAACTCAACCAGAACGATATTTTCCACTTTTGGTGTATTTTATTATGCATATGTACAGGTACAAAATCATAAACGACAAACCCGTCAGTTAAAAAGTAGAGCAAGTGATTTAGCAAAAATAAATAAATCAAGTGACTAGAATTATATTTCATCCACGTCGGTGAAGGGAAAGAAGTGTCGCGAGACGTGTCTGCCAAACAGTCGAGGTAGATGGAAGGGCAGGATTAGCAATCGTCGAGCCAACCAGAGCGGCCACAGATCGAGAAGGGGAGACTGACCGCAACCCAAACTGTATGGCTGCAACACGCATCCTGCCACGGGGTCGGTCACAGCTGCTGGCGAAACACGAGACGTGCCCAGTGACGAATAGGTCTCAATTCGAGAGAACCAGGCAAGCCAATTAGACAGAAAGGCTGTCAGAGTCAGCAATCGCAAATAAAGTGGTCGAGGGTATGGGCGCTCCACCTCCTCCCCACCTCCGACATCTTGACGAGGAATAGGGATGTGGTAAAAGGGAGAAAGAGCATCAGCTGGGGTCATCCACAGAACGCCTGTCAGGTGAGCTTTGGGTTCCACGGAGTGCCGCATCAGATTTAGCAGTGGCGAAAGCGGTGACATCGCCTGTAAATTAAATAATCGCATTTGTTATTCAAGACAAACCAAGGACACAAAGTCTCCTAAGTATTCGCTTGCAAATTTTTGTGTGACCACTATCACATAAAGTAAAATTACTTGCACAGGCATTGATGAATCAAGGAGCAGCGCACATTACCTACCTTAGCTTGCAAAATTTCAGACAGACATAGATATAGCGAACGTGAAAATTACGAAAGGAATGACAAAACTTACCATGGGATCGAGAAGAATTAGATTTTGCATTTGGCGATTTCTCGCACAAAAATTGCAGACATCCGAAAGCAGACGCCCGACACTCGCTCGCCATGGCGGGATCCGATTCTCATGCACAGACACATCAACTTTCTGCTGTGGAGTGAATCGAAATGGCCAACGTGTTTGACGGAAAAATAAGTCCCACTGTGGCCGCATTTTCGTGTTGATTTGTTCCGCACAGTTGAAGTAGTTATATGTGATATAGCCATTGTCCCCCAATCTATACCAATCCGGCTCTTCTCCTTCATATGTGTCT